ACAGCGTAGACCATGAGCTATTACTAAAGATCATCGAAAATACCGGCATCGATAATAAAGATATCCGCATAATAGCAAACATGTATTGGGGACAAACCGCTAAGATAAAGCTGAACAACCCGTATTCTGACAACATAGAAATAAAAAAGCCTGTCTCCGCTCCTCTTCAATATATACTCGGAAGACGTATTTGGAAAAGCGTTGGAAGAGGTAACAGAGGGTATACAGATAAACGGAGAGTGGATTAACAATGTGCGATATGCTGATGATACAGTCATACTAGCCAACAACATAGACGAATTGCAGCGCGTCATGGAAAGAATACAGAAAGCGAGTGCAGACCACGATCTTAGCCTAAATATATCAAAAACAAAGTGGATGGTGCTGAGCAAAGATCAGACACACAATGATGAAAATAATGGAAAAATTAAACGCCTTTGAAAAGTGGATATACCGCCGTATCCTCAGAATCTCGTGGACTGACCACATAACTAATAAAGAGGTGCTGCAGCTAATTGGGAAAGAGAGAGAAATTACACTCACAGTTAAAAAGAGGAAACTGGAATACCTCGGACACATAAAAGGACATCAAAAATATCGTCTACTCTAGTTAATAGCTCAAGGAAGGATCAACAGTAAAAGAGGCCCAGGAAGTGGTTTGGACTTACATCTATACAGCTATTTAGAAATGCCGTCAATAAAATTAAAATTGACATGTTGATAGCCAACGTCCGCGAGGGTTAAGGCACGCTAAGAAGAAGAATAGAAAAAGACCGACAGTTGTTGCGTCACTGCCAACCAGCTTGAGACAGTGGAGCTTTTGTCCGCACCCGAACATTGACCTACCTCGCAAAATCTCATCTTTGGACTGCTTAAACCCTGCCAAGTTCTCCTTGCTTCTGGAGTTTCTGTTGTTCAGCGACTGCTGATTGTTCCTGCGGTTTTCTTGCGCTCTCCGCTTAAGGGTGGAGTTGTCGTTGCGATTCGACACGTTCCGAGCCGTCCTTTGCTCGAACTTTTTCCCATTTTTGTTATATTGCGTGTAGTCGATGTCGAGCGCCTCTTTTTGATGGCGCGGCTTCCAAGGAGCCAAAACCGAAAACGATCGACTCAGAGTCTTCACTTGCGGCTGAATGAAGCTGGAGCCGCTCGAAGTGAGGTCTTCTCTTGAAGCAGCCCGTGGCCCGTTTCGAAGATATTCAGGTCCAGGGATGTCGCCCACTAGAAAGATTTGGATTAGTGCCCTTGGAGGAGTTCAGGCCCTATTGGCTACCTGTGGCCGCATGAAGATACACGATGCTTCTTTGGGATTGCTGGCTGCTGTCGCCTTCAGTTGAACTTTCCACGGAACTCATGTCGGGTCTTTTGCGTCTTCTGCGGTCCTCTCGGTCGTGCATGTAGCGGGAGGTTGGGGACATTGGCGGTTTCAGATTCGTCCTGCTGCCCTTCAGTTCCCTTCAAAACATGTGCATTATCAGAGATGAAACCGAAAGTTTGATTTGGAAGCAGGTTTGGGATCGGATTAAAAATGGCAAAATGGCCAGGCGGAACATGTTGAGGTTCCAACTTTAAGAAAAAATCAAATTTAAACACCAAAACACTGGAAATGGCGAAATGAGGATGCAGTTTAGGGGCTGAAGACGGTTTTTGCGATTTGCGGCCAAACGTGACTTTTTCAGAATCTAGTTTTTTCCCACCCATAAATGACTTAATTTACATGAAGATATGCGAAATTATGTCTTGTTTGGTGTTGAATAAGCATACTTTTTCGTAGTTCAGAACGGCGACCAGTTTTCGAGCAAAGGTGTTAACGTCTAAACTAAAGCACGTAGAAATGTGTCTTTTTGGCCCTTAATGGAGGACACTTGATTATCTAAATGTGGAAATTTTCAATCACATTAATCTTTAGAAACATTTTCAATTGATACAAACGCTCTTTAGCACAGTGGTTTTCAAAAATTGCTCATCTTTAGACTAAAGCAGGTAGAGCGGTTCCCTTTTTTGTCATTTATTGAAGACACTTGACTGTTGAATCAGCGAAAACTGCAAGGCAAATAAGTCTTGGGCAAGATTTTTTAATTTACAAAATTTTGCTTGATACTCTTTAAGGTGCACACTAAAAACCTTTATTTATTTTTTGAAGCATATGCAACTAATCAGAACCAAAGCGTCTAAACATGGTGAACTTTTAACTGGAATTTGCGATCACTCCTACTTGGCATTTTTTGCTCAAAAATCGAGCTTTTTTAGTCGATCGAAATCGAGAAATTTAATTTTCTGTTTTTTATTATAAACATAAAACGACAGACAAGTCTACAGACCATCAATTAAAAAATTCTCAAAAAATTATTTTAACCATTCAACCAATCACTGCGAAATCTCGTAAATCGATTTACATTAAATGAAACTGATGTTGTCATTCCAGAACGTTGCTTGCATCGGTTTTCTCTCTCAGACACATAAGAGTCTGAGAGAGACTTACCATCGCCCGTGCCTTGCTACGTTCCTACTTGATACCTTTACGGCTAGAAATATTGACTTTTGAGAGAGCGATTAATATTATTACCCCAATTGGTAAGCCGTTTCAAAAAAAAAACCAGTGGCAAAAAAACAACAATTGTTTATGTGTTTTGCTCAGAAGAAGTCTTGCTTTCAAAAATTCCTCACGTCTAAACTACAGCATTTAGGAACATGCCTTTTTGGCTATTTACAGAAGAATTACACTTGGCTGTTGAAACAAAGAAAATTGCAAGTAAGTCAGTCAACAGGAATATTTTTCTCGAATTAACAAATTTTTCGAGGATACTCACTAACGCTCTTAAGCACATTGACAGTAAACAAATCATTCCGTCTAAACTAGAGCAGATCGAGACGCGCCTTTTTAGTGAGTCATAGAAAATAATTGATTGTCAAAATACATTTAAAAAAATATAGTGCACACTAAAATCCTGTATTTATTTTTTTAAGCATAAGCAACCATTCAGAACCAAAAGGTCTAAACATGGTGAACTTTTAACTGAACTTTGCGATAACACTCCTACTTTGCATTTTTTGCTCAAAAATCGAGCCAGAAATTTTAATTTTCTGTTTTTTTATTATAAACATAAAAAGGCAGACAAATTTACAGACTATTAATTCAAAAATTATCAAAAAATGATATCAACCTATCACTGCGAAATTTGTTGCGAAATCTTTTAAATCGATTTACATTAAATGATACTGATTTTGTCATTCCAGAACGTTGCTTGCATGGGTTTTCTCTCTCCCACTCATATGAGTCTGAGAGAGACTTACCATCGCCCGTGCCTTGCTACGTTCCAACTTGATACCTTTACGGCTAGAAATATTGAGTTTTGAGCGAGACGATTAATATTATTACCCCAATTTTTAAGCTCTTTTAAGAAACAATCCAGTGGCAAAAAACAACAATTGTTTATGTGTTTTGCTCAGAAGCAGACTCACTTTCAAAAATTCCTCACGACTAAACTACAGCATTTAGGAACTTGCCTTTTTGGCTATTTACAGAAGACACTTGGCTGTTGAAACTAAGAAAATTGCAAGTAAATCAGTGCACCGGAGTATTTTTCTCGAATTTACACATTTTTCGATGATAGTGACGCTCTTAAGTCCATTGACAGTAAAAAAGTAATTCCGTCTAAACCGGAGCAGATCGAGAGAGCGCCTTTTTAGAGAGCCATAGAAGATAAGTGATTGTCAAAATACATAAAATTTCAAGTAAATCCGTTCTTAGGAAGATTTTCCAGGAATTAACAAACTCACTCACTTGATATTCACTAACGCTCTTAAGCAGCCTGGCGTTAAAAATTCCGCATGTCTAAACTAAACCACGTAGCAAATTGCCTTTTTGGTCAACGATAAAAGAAGACACTTGACTCTCAAATTAAGGAAAATTTGTTCAACAGCTTACCTATCGGTTTCCGATATGTTCGTCAGCGATTTGTGCAGAACGTCGCTCTTCCTACCGAGATTTGCTCCCTTCCGACTTTCTTCTGAAATATTGTGCAACTCCCTAGTGGATTGGCTGCGCAAACCCGGCCTTTTCTTAGCCAGAGTGGCCCCTCTTAAGCTGTCTCCAGTGGACTCCTGGTCGGTGTCTCCGAAGAAGCGCAAATTGCTGGTGGATGAGGAGATTCGCGTTTGGCGTCCGTTTCCCTCGTCTTCTGTGCTGGTCAGGTTTCCGTCCTTATTTCGCTGGAATTAATGTGATTAACGGTTCCTCTTCAAGGTGTTATTGGTGAAAGTACCTTTTCCTTTCTTTTCGTTAGTCGATCCAGGGATTTGAACCAACTGCTGTGTGTGGATTCGGGTTTCTTCGGGCCGTCCCTCGATGGACTGGGCGTGGAAAGGCGTCGCCTGTTTCTATAATCGGGGCTCTGCAAAATCGTCAATAACTTGAACATTTGAGGGTTTAATCATGTGGATTTCGGTACAGAATAATTGAGGATAGAAGAATCTGAATATTTAAAAGCGACTTTTCTCGCAAACTGTTCGAAAAACATTTTATAGAGCACCTGAACGGAACATTTTTAAATAAAAGTCATGCTATCAGAGTAGCGCAGCAAACGCGTCTAATACGAAATGATGCTCCCAGTGTGATTTTTCAAATAATGTCGGCCGAAACTCGTATGGTATGATATTTTGGGCAAAAACACATCCTGTCCAATTAAAGAAGTTGATTTAACGATCTTAGAACGACGAGAGGCAGCCGAAGAGGGTTACTTTTAAGTGGTTTATTTTGCAACCTGAAACTGGTCATATTTACATAAAAAATCCCCGAGTCAACCGGCAGGTATATTTTTGGTGCTTTGCAACCTTTCAGTGATTTTTATTGTCGATGTTGAGCATGGCAGGGATTTTTTATGATTGCAGGAATATTGGAAGCCCATATGGTCTTAATGTTAACAAGGCTACGAACCTGTGGCGAATCTATTAAAGACAATACGGATCAAAGGAGCGAGATTGCATAAATTCCTTACCAACGCAATGTCGATTTACTATTCTTCGCCGATCTTTAAACAATGTTATCTAATTGCAATCGGTTGAAAACCTTGAGCGCGCCGTAGACATTTATATTAAAAATCCCCTTTTACAAAAATGTTAATTGCAGTTGCGTATCTTCTATCGAAAAAAATGGCAAAGTTACTCACTGGCCCATTTTGAGTGCTGATTCGCTCATTATCAGCTCCTTGTTTGGCGTACAATGGCTTGGACTTGGCTTTCTGCAAAGTGCTGCTCTTGTCCTTTTTCTTTTCCCGTGTAAACAGAGATTTCACCTGGAAAATCGCAAAATAGCAACATTTTCTTTCGATTTGCTGAACTTACTTTTTCCAGGCCGCTTTTCTTTTCCGGCTTTGGTGGTTTCTTTTCGATCACTTTCGGTCGTTCGATGTCTTTGTCGATTCGGGGATCGTAATGAGATCCATCGTCGATGCTGCGTTCTCGCGGAATATATTTACTTTTATGCCGGTAAAATTCGTCTCGCGAATTTATATCGGAATCGTAGTCTTTCCGCGATTTTCGCAAATTGCTGGTTTCGGTGTGATGTCTTTCGTTCGTTATCAGCAAAGAGCTGGCAAAACCTGAAATGAGGAAATTTTGAATGGTTGGTAATTAAAAATCGGTAAAAGTTTTCCGCTCAAAGGTGCTAAAGTGCGTAAGCGGATACCTCATCTGGTTTCTGAGACATAGGCTCTTAAAAAAGTGTCGAAAATCCCGCAATTTATTGCGACAAAGTTTCTAACTTGCCAAAAATTGGCTTCTAAATTGAAAATGGTCTCTTGAAACATGTAGTGCAAAAACCGATCAAATAAAAAAAATTGTTCAAAGATCCGAAATTACTTGCAAAAAAAGTTTTCTCCGCATTCTGCCCCCATTAACACAATGGTTAAACCTGAAAGAAAAACCTCCTCAGTCAAAGCCTGCTGAAAGTCGCAAACTGATACATCAGCTAGTTCTTGAGAAATAACCTCTTCAAGAACGAAGTGCAAAAACCGCACAAAGTGAGGAAACTGGCCAAAGTTACTGAGTTCGTTCTAAACAAGCTTTTCTCTACATTCTTCTGAAACTCGCTTAATAACTAACGTAAAGCATCTTTGAAACTCTGCTGGAAACCGCAAGTTGATACCTCGTGCAGGTCTCCAGCAATGGGTTCTTGAAGATGCAATGCAAAAACAGCTCTAAATCAAATAACTCTCTAAAGTTCCAAAATTCATTCCAAAGAAACTTTCCACTGAATTTTGTCCAAACTCACGCAACTATTCACACAGAGCTTTCTTTAAGACGGCCAAAAACTCCAAAAAGTTCTCCCATCTGGTTTTTGAGAAATGGCATCTTGAAGAATGAAGTGCAAAAATCGCACAAATTGAAAAAACTGTCCTAAAAAACAAAACCGATTTTCCCTACATTGTCCTCAAACTCAACAAATGACTCACGTAAAGCATCTTTCAAAGCCCGCTAGAATCCTCAAGCTTATAACTCTTGTAGGCCTTGAGAAATGCGTTTTTGAAGCATATAGTGCAAAAGCCGATCAAATCAAAAAACTGTTCAAAGATCCGATATTCCTTCCAAAGAACGTTTTCCTCGGATGCTGCCCAAATTAACACAATGGTTAAACCAGATCCTCGGTCAAAGTCTGTTGAAAGTCGCAAACTGATACATCAGCCAGTTCTTGAGAAATAACTTCTTCAAGAACGAAGTGCAAAAACTGCACAAATTAAGAAAACTGTCCAAAGTTCCTGAGTTCGTTCCAAAGAAGCTTTTCTCTACATTCTGCTAAAACTCGCTGAACAAGTAACGTAAAGCATCTTTGAAGCTCTGCTGAAAACCGCAAGTTTATACCTCGTGCAGGTCTTGAGAAATGGGTTCTTGAAGATGCAATGCAAAAACCGGTCTAGATCAAATAACTCTAAAGTTCCAAAATTCATTCCATAGAAACTTTCCACTGGATTTTGTCCAAACTCGCGCAACTATTAACACAACGCTTTCTTTAAAGATTGCGAAAAACTCCAAAGAGTTCTCCCATCTGGTTTTTGAGAAATGGCCTCTTGAAGAATGAAGTGCGAAAATTGCACAAATTGAAAAAACTGTCCTAAAAAACGAAACCGATTTTCCCTACATTGTCCTCAAACTCAACAAATGACTAACGTAAAGCATCTTTCAAACCCCGCTAGAGTCCGCAAGCTTATAACTCTTGTAAGCCTTGAGAAATGCGTTTTTGAAGCATATAATGCAAATTCTGATCAAATCAAAAAACTGTTCAAAGATCCGATATTCCTTCCAAAGAAAGTTTTCCTCGGATTTTGCCCAAATTAACACAATGGTTAAACTAGATCCTCGGTCAAAGCCTGTTGAAAGTCGTAAACTGATACATCACATAGTTCTTGAGAAATAACCTCTTAAAGAACGAAGTGCAAAAACCGCACAAAGTGAGAAAACTGGCCAAAGTTCCCGAATTCGTCCCAAAGAAGCTTTTCTCTATATTCTGCTGAAACTCGCTAAATTACTAAAGTAAGGCCTCTTTGAAACTCTGTTCGAAACCGCAAGTTGATAACTCGTGCAGGTCTCCAGCAATGGGTTCTTGAAGATGTAATGCAAAAACCGCTCTAAATCAAATAACTCTCTAAAGTTCCAAAATTCATTCCAAATAAACTTTCCACTGGATTTTGTCCAAACTCACGCAACTATTAACATAAAGTTTTCTTTAAAGACTGCGAGAAACTCCAAAGAGTTCTCCCATCTGGTTTTTGAGAAATGGCCTCTTGAAGAATGAAGTGCAAAAATCGCACAAATTGAAAAAAACTATTCAAAACTCCGAGGCCGATTTTCCCTACATTTTCCCTACGCAAGCTTATAACTCTTGTAGGCCTTGAGAAATGAGTTTTTGAAGCATATAGTGCAAAACCCGATCAAATCAAAAAACTGTTCAAATATTCGATATTCCTTCCAAAGAAAGTTTTCCTCGGATTCTGCCCAAATTAACACAATGGTTAAACTAGATCCTCGGTCAAAGCGTGCTGAAAGTCGCAAACTGATACATCACATAGTTCTTGAGAAATAAACTCTTCAAGAACGAAGTGCAAAAACGGCACAAAGTGTAGTGTTTCGCAGGTACACAAGTTCCCGAATTCGTTCCAAAGAAGCTTTTCTCTATATTCTGCTAAAACTCGCTAAATAACTAAAGTAAAGCCTCTTTGAAACTCTGTTGGAAACCGCAAGTTGATACCTCGTGCAGGTCTCCAGCAATGAGTTCTTGAAGATGCAATGCAAAAACCGCTCGAAATCAGATACTCTCTAAAGTTCCAAAATTCATTCCGAAGAAACTTTCCACTGGATTTTGTCCAAACTCGCGCAACTATTAACACAAAGCTTTCTTTAACGACTGCCAAACACTCCAAAGAGCTCTCCCATCTGGTTTTTGAGAAATGACCTCTTGAAGAACGAAGTGCAAAAATAGCACAAATTGAAAAAAACTTACTATTCTATGCTCACACATCTCGTTTCTGGCCTTACCTTCATCTTCACTCTCATTGTACAGATCTGGATGAGTCCTCAAAGGCCTGGCAGGCCTGTAGTTCTCGCTACTGTCCCGTCTAAAGTCGTTTTCAATTCCCGAATCCACAAAACGATCCGTCCTCCGGTCACTTTCCTCCCGATTTAGGAAAGTCTCCGACCTGAACCTCTGCGATCTGCCCTTATCAAGAGCCTCCTCTCTGGGCAAGGAGTCGTGATAGGATCCGTTCCGATCCGTACTCAAAGTCCTGTTGTGGATCTCGGGAGTGGATCGATACATGTTCTTGTCTTTGAGCAGTTTCGGTTGCTCGTAGCGGCTGATATTCTCGATGGTGAATGGAGGCTCGAAACGTTGGGTTTCCGGGGAGGAGCGATAGTCGCTGAGTGGATACTCCAGGCTTTTGGGTTCGGTGTCTGAAAGTTCGTGCGGCTCGCCAAAGACTTTCTTAGTGTGAGTCTGGAAGTGTCTGCGTAAAAGAAATCAGGACAATGAGTATGAAATTTGATCGCCCGGTATTTTGGACTTACCTTTCGCCAAAGCCGTCAGCCTTGGTCTCTGACATGTATTTCTCCTTAAACCCCGCTGGACTAGAGGAGCCGTTCCTGTAGTACTTGGAGGACTTTTCCGAAACGTACACTTTGGTTCTTGGAGGTTTGGTGGGGTGGAATTCCGGGGATGGGGTGGTTTTGTCGCTAATCCTGCGGTTGATCCGGGATTCCAGAAGGTCGCGCCTGGCGCTCAAATCCACCCGACTAGGGGAGGAGTGCATCTGGTCGGCTTCAGTGAGACTCTCCCTCCTCTTGGAGTCCATCCCATCGCCACGCCCCCTTTCCATGATTCCATTGCAGCTGGAAAAGCGGGCGGGGCTGCGGTACTTGGGCAGAATGGGGCTTTCCGCCTTGTACTTGTCGATTTCATCCAGCAGCTTCTCAGTTTCGCTTTGGTAACTTTCGAACTGATCATCTCCAAAGTGAGTGAACAGCTTCTCGGAGTCGTACTTCCGATTGAACCCCGTACTGTCTTCGCCCCCCAATCCTTCATCAGAGTCCGACTGGGCGGGCCTCCGTCCATTGAACGCTCTATGCACTGTCAGCTTCTCGTTCTCTGCAAAAACATGTTTTCAGCCAATTCCAAGCGGATTAACTGGGAGGATTGTTGGGCGCTACTCACGTTTCCCATTGGCTGTGCACACCACTTGGGCATAGATAACCGGCTTAGTGATAGGCGGAGAATCGCGAGGCAAATCCTCACTCGATCGGCATTTGTCTGGACTTATGCCTCTCGTGTATGAGAATGGCTGGTTATTGTTATGTTGCACCGCGATATTGGGCATAATGAGTACATTAGTGCGAGCAGGAGGAGGCGAAGAACAGGAGTCGCTGCTCAAGCGTTTTACCATCGAGTTTACCGCTTTTCCTGAAATGTTAATAAGCGCCGATCAAGACAAGAGCGAGCCCATAGGACTTCATGCGGAGACAATAATCACCAACTGAGCCTTTAGGAATTCCCAAAAGGCCCAAAAGGTCCAAACCTGCCCTAACTTTGGAGGTCGCAAATTTCTTATTGCTTCGGGCCATTTGATTTCTGTTTCTTTTAAAAACAACGTACTTCTTACAAGGTGGAACATGAAACAACGCAAAGCTTCGACGCAGTTTCAATTGATTTGAGAGTTACATATTTTTTAACTCCAAAGCTGAACTCAAGTTCAAAAGCTGATGAAAAATCATTGGGTATTTAGATGATATTGGAAATTTGTGCGGAACTGGGACAAATTTTCTAGTTTACAGTAGCAAAATTTCAAGCTCCTACTTAAAGTGGTTTAAAGCTAAAGCTATGAATTTTTGTTCAAGTGTGCTACAGGTTACGCTGAATTTATGGCACATTCGAAAGCTTTTATGCAACATGTTCGTCTTGACTATGCCGAAGTCTTAAGTTGCTGATTGCCCTCAAGTCGGAGTTATGATTTTTTACTTAACCGTCCTTACAAATGGCGCGGTTCTGTAAATTTCACGTCAAGTTCAAAAGCCGCTGAAACATGAGCGGAGGCTCGGATTCTAATGAGAATTTGTCCTGTATTGGACAAAGTCTTTGTCTTCACTGTGCAGAAAATTTAATTTTCTATTTGAAACCAGTTTGAAAGATATACATTTTTGTTTAAGTGCACTACGAAATTTGCAATTCTTCGATGTTCTCGCCACGTTTAAAAGCTTCTGAAAAATAATTTGGGAACTGTATTTTAATCGAAATTGGTCTGATTTTGGACTGGAACCTTGCTATTAACTCTGCAGGATTTCCTATTAACTTCGTTGGCTGGTTTGGACAGTATACATTTTTGTTTGCCGCACTATAAGTTGCGCGGTGTTTTTAATATCGCATCAAGTTCGAAGGCGTCTAAAAATTGAAAATTAAAGTTTCCCAGTGCTTTAAAATTTCCCTCATGTTGGCCAAAGCCTTTGTCTTCAGCGCGAGGAAATTGTAACTTGCTACTTGAACTGGTTTGGCAGGTACACATGTATGTTTGACTGCACTACAAATTTTGCGGTTCTTGAAATTTCCAGTCAAGTTCAAAAGCCGCTGAAACATCAGCGGACACTCACATTCTAATGAAAATTTGTCCTGTATTGGACAAAGTCTTTGCCATCACGATGCAGAAATTTTAACTTTCTAGTTGAAACCAGTTTGGAAGATATACATTTTCGTTTAAGTGCACTACAAAATTTGCAGTTTTTTGTTGTTCTCGCCACGTTCAAAAGCTTCCGAAAAATAATTTGGGAATTGGATTTTAATTGCAATTCGTCTGATTTTGGACTGAAACCTTGCTATTAATTCCGCAGAGTTTCCTATTAACTACGTTGGCTGGTTTGGACAGTAAACATTTTTGTTTGACCGCACTATAAGTTGCGCGGTGTTTTTAATATCGCATCAAGTTCGGATGCGTCTAAAAGTTGAAAATTACAGTTTCCTAGTGCTTGAAAATTTGCTTCATGTTGGCCAAAGCCTTTGTCTTCAGCGCGAGGAAATTGTAACTTGCTACTTGAACTGGTTTGGCAGGTACACATGTATGTTTGACTGCACTACAAATTTTGCGCTTCTTGAAATTTTCCGTCAAGTTCAAAAGCTTCTGAAACATCGGCGGACGCCCGGATTTTAATCAAGATTGGCTCAGTTCTGGGTAAAACCTTTGTCGTCCTTTGTCAGAAATTTTAACTTGCTGGAAACTAGTTTGGACGATATGCATTTTTGATTAACTGCACTACAAAGTTTGTGGCACTTTGAGTTTTCAAGTTCAAAAGTTTCTGAAAAATCAATCGATGGTTTGATTTTGATTAAGATCTGTGCGATTTTGAATAGAAATTTCCCATTAATTCTGCGCAATTTTCAAATAGCTACGTTGACTCGTTTGGGCAGGATTAATTTTTGGTTGACCGCACGATAAGTTGCGCGGTTTTCTTTAATATCGCGTCAAGTTCAAAAGCCGCTGATGTTTCAGCGGAGGGTCGTATTCTAATGAAAATTTGTCTCGTATTGGACAAAGTATTTGTCCTTACGGTGCAGAAATTTTAATTTTCTACTTGAAACCAGTTTGGTTATATAATGTATAATATAAGATATACATTTTTGTTTAACTGCACTACAAGGTTTGTGGCACTTTGAGTTTTTCAAGTTCAAAAGTTTCTAAAAAGTCAGTCGATGGTTTGATTTTAATTAAAATCTTTGCAATTTTGAATAGAAATTTCCCATTAATTTGGCGCAATTTTCAAATAGCTACGTTGACTCGCTTGGGCAGTATTAATTTTTGTTTGACCGCACTGTAAGTTGCGCGGTTTTCTTTAATATCGCGTCAAATTCAAAAGGGTCTAAAAATTGAGAGGAAAAAGAGCTTTTAAAGAAAGTTTTCAAGTGCTTTGCTGAGCCATTCCTATTTAATGTGACGAAATTTCAAGTTCAAACCTTTGGCAGTTTGAAAGTAAGACTTTTTTGTAAACCTTCCCATGTAAATACTCTTCACTACACTCTTCATAGTTTCTAGAAAAAAGGGACCGATAGGAAAGGCAAAAATGACCGAAAAATCTGTCCCACTAACAGAAAATAATTTTTGTGCTTAAGATAAACTAATCTTAATATTTGTGGTGTTGAAATGAAAAAAATCGTGTTTTGTCCAACTGAACACGCAGACCGTTCACCCATTTTTCGTTGTTTCATTTGCCACCCTGTATAAACTTTATCTGTTTAATGTGTAAATGAGGCTTCCAACAGAAATAAATTCTCTCTAAGGAGTCGCAATTTATCGAGGTCCAAACTTAGTCCAAATTTGTCAGCGTAAGTTTGATTTTGTTGAGCAGTTTACTGAAGGAAATCCGCTCAGAATCAGCAGAAAATGATCATCAAATGTGGTGGAATTGTTAGATTCTCACTAGAATTTCTAGTGCATTTAGTTAACTTCTATTTTCTTCTCTATTACTTACTATCGTTGTAGCAATAGTGCAACAGTTCAGCTTCCAGTGAGGAGTAAAGTTAACTTTTTTCATTTTTTTTGCGACAGTTCTGAATAATTTTTTACGATTTGCAGCAACAAGAATGAAATATAAAAATGGCAGTTTAGCAACAAAAATTATTTTTGCATTTGAAGAATGAGATCCGGTGACTAAGCTCTTGTCCGATACAAGCAAGCGGTTTAGTTGATTGTTCAGCTAAAGCACTCTGAACCCTAAGGGAGCTTGGGTACATTGAATCAGCTTCAGCTGCACTCACCTTTAGTAAGGGGCGGCTTTTCAACTGGCTTCTGACTACTGTGAATCATATCTGGAGACCGATTGACTGGCTGATACGAATCCTTAACAGTGGGGGCCACTAGGCCGGTAGGCTTTTTATCGGCTGAAGAATTCAGTTCCTCACTCTTAACAGCTGCTGGGTCTTTACGGGCATGCTTCCTTTCAACTTCATTGGCTTTGGGCTTTTTCTGGGTGATCGACTTGAGCTTTTTCCCCAAGTTGAAGTTCAGCTTGTGCCGTTTGCTGCTTGAAATGTTCTCGGCTTTGTCCACGTCGATTATAATGGGCTGAGGCTCCCTTTGCGGTGATGGAGTTTTGGCGATCCGAATTCCCGTTTCTTTGTATAGAGCGGCGTCCACTTCCTCTATGTAGTTCTTCAGTTGATCGGTTACACTTGCTGAGCGATTCTGCAAAAGACAATTACCAAAATTATCAGTTAGTTACTGAAGATTCAATGAAATCCGGTTGATTACCTCCGGGTTTTTCTCGTTCTCTTCGTTCGGCGCAAAATAATCTTCCCGTTGAGTTACTTCGATGATGGGCGATAACTGTTTCTTAACGTTTATTCTTTTGCTGATCTCTTCAGCATCGCTTTCAGGCCCGAAAGCTTTCGAGCGCAAAGCGCTGGCGTCGCTGACGCTCCTTCGGAGGCTGGATTTCTTCGGTTTGGGGCTCTTGGGCGATTTGCTGAAGATGTCGAAGATCGACGGCTTGGAGCAGCTGGAACCGTTGGAAACTGTGGCAAAAGTGCGCGGAGGCTTTTTAGGGCCGCGTAGGTCAAGCGAGTCGCGCCTGTTGGGAACGCGCCTGTCCAAGGAGTGGGACGGATAGTCTTTCTGGCCAGATTTTTCCTTTTTTCTGCTTGGAAGCGTGTAGAACTTTTTCGGAATGGGACCTGAAAAATTCAATAAACATGCACTGAGATGCGTTTCAGGCCAATTTGTCTTATCTGAAAGTTCAAAGTGAAAATAAACGTTTGATGTATTTTTAATACATTCTTAACCAGTTTTACTCTAACCAGAAAAATTTGTAAAAAAATTGAAAAAATCGCGTGATTTTTGTGTCAGGTTAATCCAGTCTCCATCCTGTAAAGTATAGAATCATTATGGTCCTTAAGGCAAGTGCGGTTGTTTATTGTGCCTGCTAACTGCAGGACTGGTTTCAATTCGGGGTGGATTTTCATTGTGTGTTTACTTAAGTGCCGTGTGCCGATTCTGTATTGTGTTTTTTATAAATGTGCTTTTGGGAAAATCAATTTAAAGTCAGACTTTGGACGTCTACATAACTCGAGGTTTTCCATGGCAGACTGTTTTCATATAAACTTTTTCAGTTTAAATGCAAAATAAATCTCGTTCTCCTGTGATGTGATTGTATTGTGATCCATTCTACTCGAAACTAACCGGTTTTTGCATTCTCAATAGGAATTGCTGAGATTTACAAATTTCAACTTGTCTTGCTCCGTGCCCCTGCATTAAATATGCAGGTTTATGTCACGTAAAATAAGGGTGTTCTGTTGGAAAAAACTACTGCATAAATTACCTCTATCGTTGGCAATACATCCGATCTTATCAGCCTCCCTTAGCACTTTGGCAGCTTCTTCGGCAATTTCCTTCTTGGACCGTTTGAGGCGTTCCTTTCGAACTGGCGAAGTTAGAACAATGTCTCCATCGATTCCATTAACCGCGCCTATCACCCTTGGACTCTCCCTGGGCACTTTAATGAAAAAAACACTCTTTGAATAACCAGGATCGACCGGAATTTATTTATTATTGAAGATTGGCATTGTGATTTTCCATTGTGCGCGTTTGACTCCTTAATCGGCACAGTTCGGCGTGATAATTATCGGAAGCAACCAAGTGAAAAATTGGCAATCTTTCTCTATCAGATGGCTGTTTAATTAACAGTTTTAGAATTTAAATTTTCATATTGTTACTACTGTAATAATCAGCAGCGAAGCGAGCGGAGCCATAAAGTGCACAGTTATTTAAAAAAGTTACCGAGTGAACTTTATAATTGGATGGTTTCATCCTTGTCCTCAAATTACTTTAATTGTTTTTTTGGAGGTTTTTTTTATTTATCTTATTCATACTTCACGCTATCTTGGTCGCAAATCCTTATAGGTTCACCTCAAAGACATTTTTATAAGGTTACACAACGAGCGAACCGTTTCAGTCTTATTGACGTTTCGGGAGCACGCATGACGAGCATTTTCAGAGTTGTGTTATCAATTGTTCGATAGTTTCAGCGGGCGTTTAAGCTTTAGATGACGCTGACATATTTTTGCCAACTTTGGATTTTCTTGATTTTTTTAGGCGTGAAGGTATCAAGTTGGAACGTAGCATGGCACGGGCGATGGTGAATCTCTCTCAGAGTTATATGTGTGTGAGAGAGAAAACCAACGCAAGCAACGTTCAGGAATGACAAAATCAGTTTCATTTAATGTAAATCAATTTGTAAGACTTCGGCACGAATTTCGCAGTCATTGTTTGAAAAAAGCCGTAGTTTTTTGGGATTTTTTTAATTAATAGTCCGTAAACTCGTCTGTCATTTTATGTCGATAATAAAGAACAATAAATATAATTTTATCGATTTTTTTGAGCAAAAAATGCAAAGTAGGAGTAAGGTCGCAAGTTTCAGTTAAAAGTTCATCATGTTTAGATCCTTTTGTTCAGAGCCGTTGCATATGCTTCAAAAAATAAATAAAGGTTTTTAGTCTGCACTTAAATTTTTTTGTATGTATTTTGACAATCAATTATCTTCTATGACTCGCTGAAAAGGCGCGTTTCGATCTGCTCCAGTTTAGACGGAATCATTTGTTTACTGTCAATGTGCTTAAGAGCGTTATCGAAAAATTTGTTAATTCGAGAACAATATTCCTGTTTACTGACTTACTAGCAATTTTCTTCGTTTCAACAGCCAAGTGTCTTCTATAAATAGCAAAAACGGCAAGTTCCTAAATGCTGTGGTTTAGACGTGACGAATTTTTGAAAGCGACTCTGCTTCTAAGCAAAACATAAACAATTTTTGTTTTTTGCTACTGGATTTTTTCCTTGAAACGGCATAAAAAATGGGGTAATAATATTATTCGTCTCGCTCAAAACTCAATATTTCTGGACGTAAAGGTATCAAGTTGGAACGTAGCATGGCACGGGCGATGGAGAATCTCTCTCAGAGTTATATGTGTGTGAGAGAGAAAACCGACGCAAGCAACGTTCAGGAATGACAAAATCAGTTTCATTTAATGTAAATCGATTTAAAAGATTTCGGCAAGAATTTCCCAGTCAATTGTTTGAAATAAGCCGTACTTTTTAAGAAGTTTTCAATTAATAGTCTGTAAACTCGTCTGTCGTTTTATGTCGATAATAAAAAAACAGTAAATTAAATGTTCTCTCGATTTTTTAAAGATCAAAAAATAAAGAAAGGTTTTTAGACGGAATAATTTTTTTTGTTGCATGGCAAAAATTTGTTGCATGGATTTGGTATGTTATTTTATTTATTTATATGCCTGTTGTCTCGTTAGTATTTGAGGCATTGCATTTGAGGCAAAAAA